CCTCACACAGGTTCAAATTCACACACCTAGTAAGTGTTAGAGATGTCAAACTGTCTCCAGAGCTCTCACCCTTAACCACTGCCTCTAGTGCCTAGCCAGTGTCCTCACAAAGTTGTTGTTCAGTAAATGTTCATCAAATTGAACTGAAGATTATGAGTCCGGGAGCCAGGAAAGAAAAAAGCAATGCTGGCTGGTTGTGCCCATAGCTGGTGTTGGCAGGCAGTGTTTGTCTTTGGGACAACAGCCTGTGACACTGGAATGAAACAATCTCAGCAAGAGACAGTACACTCCACAAGCCCTGAGAAAATTTCATTTGGCTCAAGAGTTGCTGACCTGAATAAAAGGGCATGAAATTGAGTTTTGTAGAGGAAAAGAGTAAAGAGGCCAAAATTCAGCTACAAAGTCAGATCATATGACAACCACGGGGGTGATGGGAAAATACTGTGACATGGGCACCACACACAGCAAATACAAGAAATACAGCCAAGAAGCTAGTAAGATACAGTACTTGAAATCTGGGGTCATTAGATCATTTGTTCATTCAGTAAATGTGTAAGGAGCACACAATTTGCTACTACCTGCTTCACTCTCCTGTCTCAGGCCACACACCAAGCTCTCCTGCGAGCTCACTTGGCCTCAGGACTGAGGCTCACTTCCCGCTCCTCATTCTTGCCTTTCAATTTTTCAGATGCTCTTGTTACAGATGTTCTCTTGGCCAGCTCCTTCTCTTCACTCCTGACTCAGCTCTTCAGAGGCACCTTCTCTGACTACCCAGTTACCTGAAGGAGTCCCTTATACATCATCCCCCAAATTTTCTTTGTAGAACTTACCATGGTCTAAAGCTACCTCTTTCATTTACTTGTCCATTATCTATCTATTCACTAGAACCGAAGTTCCATGACAGCAAGAATCTCATCTGTCTTATTTATCACTGTATCCTCCACTCAAAACAGTCCTTGCTTATAGTAGGTACTCAATAAGTTTTAGTTGAATCAGTGACTGTACCTCGTATAAAAATTTACAGAGACTTTCCTGACTGTCCAGTGGGTAAAACTCTGTGCTACCACTGCAAGGGGGCATGGGTTCTATCCCTGGTTGGGAAACTAAGATCCTGCATGCGTCTCTCGGCATTGCCAGTAAAAGAAAAAAGAACACTAACTTTGGCAAAGGCTGTTACAAATATTATTTCCTGGGTGCTAGATAAATGCAAACTTAAGTCGCTTTGTCTCCTTTCCTGCGGCAGAGCGTCTGTCGTAGGCACTCCCTAACACCTGGTATTTCCTAGGTGTATGAGGTGTGTTTAACAGTTCCAGAGCACTCATACTGGTTTGCACGCCTCTCTCTCTTTTTAAAGAGATTGATTTTTAAATTTATTTTTGACTGCACTGGGTCTTCGCTGCTGCACTGGGCCTTTCTCTAGTTGTGGTGAGCAGAGGCTACTCTGTTGCTGTGCATGGGCCTCTCATTGCGGTGGCTTCTCTTGTTGTGGAGCATGCGCTCTAGAGCATGGGCTTCAGTAATTGTGATGCACGGGCTTAGCTGTTCTGTGGCATGTGGGATCTTCCCAGACCAGGGATAGAACCTGTGTCCCCTGTATTGGCAGGCAGATTCTTAACCACTTGACCACCAGGAAAGCCTTACTCTCCTCTTTTAAAATATTATTCCAGGGTCTATCGATTGAGGTAGTGGTTTACAACTTGGGTTACCAGACCCTGGGTCCTTGATCATAATCTTTGAGCTGTTTTCATTATTGTCAGTGACCTAACATCAATCATGTTTAATCTTTCCTCAAGATTCCCAGGGTCCTTGGAAGTTACTTCTTTGCTTTCATAGAATCCTAACACGTAGTGAGGCAATGCTAAAGGAAAATGAAGTAATCATTAGTTAGCATATGCAGTTTTATTGCATATGCAAATCCTCCTCTACTTTGGAGGAAAATAAATAAGAAGGTTCTTAGTGGTAAAAAGGCTAGAAACCCCTTAGCTCAGGGAGCCTGAGTTCAAAGAGCAAAGAACTCTCCTTTACCCATAAACTCTCCTCCCATGACCTCCTGATTATTTCAGCAAAATATCTACCTCACTTAGTTGTAGGGCCTGGAAGAGGCTAGACTGGAGACATCTCAGAACAGGGGAGAGTAGAAGTTCCAAAAAGCAAACAGCCCTAAAAAAGGGAAAGGTGGGGGGAAAAAAAACAAACAAAAACTCCCTGCCTGCTTTGCTCTTTGCACCTGGGACAGGAATTTTGAATGAACATGTATTATTCAGTTGCTATCTGACAGGCACCTTACATGCAGTCTTTTAATCAATGCCTACTTCACAGATCAGGTACACAGCCAGTGAATAACTGAACCAGGATCATGAATCCAGACAAATCTGGCACTTGAGGCCCTTTGACAATATGCTGTACTGTCTTTGTTAGGACAGAGCATTTTAGAATTAGGGCAACTAGCTCTTCCTTCTTTCGACTCCATTGCTTCTGGGTGATAATATTATGGATACCTCTTTTCCTTCACTTTTCTATAATTTCTAAATTTTTCCTAACTAGGACTTTTCCCTAAGGGTCCTTATATGAATGAATTCATCAGTGGTTAATAATGTCTGTAGGCTGTTCTGGTGGAGATTTCCACCAAGGATACAGGAGCTGGTTCTAGATTTGGGGAATCATCAATAGAGAGATGGATTTTGAAAAACTGAGGAGTGGATTCGGTTCTCCTAGAGTTAATGTGTGGAGTAGAAATTTGGGTTGAGAAAAGAACCCTGGAAGAGAAAACCTCCATGTCTATGACCTGCTATGTAATATGGTGCCATAATACTATGCTTAATACACCACAAATATTTTGTCAACAGTTTGTACTTTTTTGTCTCAAGGAACAACTTGAAAGGGTAAGAATTCTAGTAAATGTGTTTAGAGTTCTGGGATCTAGTGTTTTTCTGGGCAGAATTAATGCTCCCTGATTGAGTCCCCAGAAGAAATCTCCATGTCCCCTGTTTTACAAGCCCTTGAATTACTGTGTTGTTGTTGTTCAGTCGCTCAGTCGTGTCCGACTCTTGGTGACCCCATGGACTGCAGCACACCAGGCCTCCCTGTCCATCACCAACTCACGAAGCTTGCTCAAACTCATGTCCATTTGAGCAGGTGATGCCATCTAACCATCTCATCCTCTGTTGTCCCCATCTCCTCCTGCCTTCAATTTTACCCAGCATCAGCGTCTTTTCTAATGAGTCAGCTCTTTACATCAGGTGACCAAAGTATTGGAGTTTCAGTTTCAGCATCAGTCCTTCCAGTGAATACTCAGGATTGATTTTTAGGATTGACTGGCTTGATCTCCTTGCAGTCCGAGGGACTCTCAAGAGTCTTCTCCAACACCACAGTTCAAAAACATCAATTCTTCGGCACTCACCCTTCTTTATGGTCCAACTCTCACATTCATACACGACCACTGGAAAAAATCATAGCTTTGACTATACAGAACTTTCTTGGCAAAGTAATGTCTCTGCTTTTTAATACACTGTCTAAGTTTGTCATGACTTTTCTGAATTACTGTACCCCGATCTTTATTGTTGGTGTGGCTCTTCCATGAAGACACACAGAGATTATTGACTCAATTCTTTATTTCCCAACTCTTAGCGGCATAATAGTTGATCCTGAGCAAATTACTTAATCTTTCTAAGGCCCCAATTTTTCATTTGAAAAATGAGAATCATTGTGTGTTTCAAAAGTTTTTAGAAAAGGTACAGTAAAATGAAAAAAAAAAAAAAGCTTAGCACAGTTCCAAGAATACTGTCAACAGTGAAAAACTGGTTTTGAACAGCTACCCTGAGGCCAGTGCTTTTTGATGCATGCACGTAAGGATCGCTCTGTCCATCTCCAGAAACGGATAAGTCAAGTTCTGTCTTCACCTTGTGAGTTAGATAAAATCTCAGCTCATTGTATGGAAATACAAAAAACCTCGAATAGCCAAAGTAATCCTGAGAAAGAAGAATGGAACTGGAGGAATCAATCTGCCTGACTTCAGACTCTACTACAAAGCCACAGTCATCAAGACAGTATGGTACTGGCACAAAGACAGGGCAGTCACTTTTTCAACGGTTTTTGTCTCCACATGTAAAGCATCCTTCATTTCTCTATTTGAAAGGTTGTAGCATTGTTTCAGCTAGTATTTGCATCTTTTAAGTTATTGATCCTAGATTGTGACAAGCCTTTAAATAATCAATAATTATCCTAGTCTGACAAATTGCAGCTAGAGCTCTTTGACATTTCTGATATGCATTTTCATAAGGAAGTAATTTCTCTAGCTGGTTTTTTTGGTGTCTTCTCCGATTACAGTATGGGAAATAGCAGCATCTAGTCTAGCTTAAAAATTAAAGTAACTTTTCATTAGGTTCTACCAAAGAGACTTTTGGAGTTGCGACTGTTGGCAGACGGGAAGCATTTGGAGCAGCCAGGACAGGGCTAGCAAGAAAAATATGAGATATTTTGTAATGTTTTAAGTGAGCCTTTGTGAAGTATAATCGTTTAATTTATATGATTATAATAAGTGTTTTGTCTGTTGCTGAATATTGGAAGGGCTAGAATATACCTTTAAATAGCAGA